ATCGCCAGCTGGAGGTTGGCGGTTGACATAGGAGATGCCCTTAACACATAAGGAAACATTTACAGCCACTCCACTGTCCACACCGATGAAGGACCTTCACACAGGCTACGAGAGAGCCTTATAATCACCTGAAGAGCCCATCTTCATCCATTTCCTCTAATTATGCTTCAACTGATTTGCTTAGAATACTGCCTATGTCTTATTGCATTATGATAAGTGCCTGGACATGGTGAGTTGCCTGGTTTTGTGCACCAGGGTTAGGGTCTTTATCCTCTTCCTAACACAGGATGAGCTTCCTTTTAATTCTGTCTTTACAGAAATAAATTCATGGCAACCTTGAGATCTCACCTGGTTTCTGAAGAGGCCATTGAGAAATCTTCCCACCCACATTGCATGGCATATCTGCAAAGCTTCATTTAGCTCTGTCTCAAAACATCCTATCGTGCTGTGCTGTTAAACCTAAGGTTCACAGCCACCTGCTCTGCTCTTTTGTTCATGCCATTGGGCAGTTTGGGGCACTTAACACAGAACAGAACTGGTGTTAGCCTGCTGGAAGCTCCAGTTTTAATTTTGTATACCCAGAAATCTATTTAATCCCTTCATATATTGTAATCCCTTATAGTAACCATTAGACAAGCAAAACTCTTAAGCTTCCTTCCATCTGTCTATTCAGGCATCACAGTAGTATCCAAGAGCTAACTGAGTATTTTCCTGAGAAGCCTCTCCTACACTGTGCTGAAAGATCTGCTAAGGTAATGCTCGTTTACACTCATTTCCTTCCTTTCAAAGAAATCAAAGCTGTTGTGCTACTCACGGGCCTGCAGGCTACACTAGCTCCTCTCTCTTTGTTGCAATTTATTTACTTTACCCCTCTGTCATTAAAGATTACACTTTAATAATTGAACTGGCAGTTACGCAGTAGTTTTGTGACGGGCCTAGACCAGAGGCAGGCTGAGAACTCACCCAGGACTCAAATAAACGGGTTTAACCTTTGGCTTGCAACGTGTTAGCTTGATTGAGCTTCCTTTTGTGATAGAGGCAAGCTGTGCGCTCAGGATAGATCCCTGTCCATCCCCCCTCCGGTACCTCATGTCACTACCTAGAGCTACAGTCAGGCACAAGCTTACCCAAAAAGCTTCACTCGGCCTTTGGAAGACGCTGTCATTGTGCCGTCCTCCTCAACGGTGTATTCAGCAGAGATATTGTCCTGAAGGAAAAGGCCTTCTGGATCTTTTTTGGCCAGGGCATACCACTTCCCCGCATACTAAAATGAAAGATTATTATCTGGATTAATGACCATGGCAAGACTGGCACAGAAGCGTTTTTGTAAACACAGTTCCCCTCCAGCTAGCCACTGCCTGACCAAAGAAGGTAGTCTGCCTTTAGCTGGGTAGGCACCGCACAGGTCCTGCCCCACCATTTCATAAACCCTCACCTCTGTGCTTCCTGAGCCACTATGAAGAATGCCTCTAGCACCTCTGCCTTTCTGTAGGCCTTTACTTTTTACCACTTAGCCATTCCTGTAGCAACACCCAAGCCCTGAACATGTCTCCACAATCCCACCCTGCTGTGAATCAGGCCAGTTCTTCTCTGTTCCCATTTAGGCCCAAGCTTTTCCGTGGGAGATGCCAGCGAGGACACCAAATCACAGCTGCAAAGCCTTTAGCTAACTGAGTAGAGCCACTCTTTTGGCTACCAGGGGCTAAAGTTGATCTCTGATGGTGTCACGGGTCCACCTGGAGAAGCAGAAAGCAATGACTATGCGTATTAGGAAAAGGAAAGAATGTACTGGGGAGACTAGCAGCAGAGGGTAAATGAAATGAGATTCAGAAGAAGAAAATAGCTAAACAAAGGAGACCCTGAAAATTCAAAAGCAGTAGCTACTAAAACAAAAAAGAGATCTAAACAGGTCACTGCGAGACAGGAAGACCCTCAGAAGTTACCATTATTGGTAGAAGCAATGGGGAAAGTGGAATTTAGCAGAACTTAACCCTGGTCATTTTGACTTTTCAGTCAAGGTAATGAAATCTGTTCAGGAGGTTACATGCATAAGACCGAAACAGAGTACAATAACTGCCAAATACATGAGGTTGAGCAGAACTCCAATACAGTAAGATACTGATGTGCCTAAAACTCTCCCCCAAAATGGGTTTCTTTGCAGCAAGGCAACCTTTGCACAGAAGTGCTGGCAACCCACAAATTCTGTGGCTGGAGGTGATCTTCGCAGGTGGCCTGTCAAAATAAGTACTGGCACTCTGACCTGGGCCTTTGCAACATAAAAGTTAGTCCTGATTTCCCCTTCAGAGGCAGGCAAATTAAACACTGTGTTTAGAAGCAAAAGCCAGGCTGTGTTCAGGATACCCATCTGGATAAAGGCTCATTTTGCTGTGACTCCCAAGAGCGGCCAGCTGTGGATGCAAATCAGCCGGGCACCTTGTTTGTGCCTTCTCTCTGTGATGAGGGATCTGAAGTGTTTCATTCATGGGACTGCCCAAAACTGAAAGCCATACTGAACTTGAGCAACAGAAGATTATATCTAGCAGAATAACATCCCTGCCTTTTGTGGCCAGTGTTTCCATAATATTCAGCAAGTCAAACACTTGCAAAAAGAGCAAACTGCAGAAACAGTGTTTGTGAGACAGCATATGAACCCAGTTAACTTCTTGGCAATGAACCCCTTTATACAACGTATAACATGGAAAACCAGTTTATATCGTAAAGCTTCTTCGCATATATTATGTTTAGCAGAATAAGTAACCGTAATTACCCTTTTTGGATCAAAATTGTCTTTCACAGAGAAAGACTCCACTGCGCAGGTCTGAGCTAGGCTATATTCAACAGTGGAGAAGATCGATGCCAGGAAAACATATTGTGCGTATTTCATTCTGCAAGACAAAAGCAGACATGCAGAGTCTTATTTCACACCAGATACGGATAGCCAGTGCCGTGCCTACAGATACATTCCCCTTATTTTAAAAACTAGTTTCGTTCCATGCTGAGTTTAGTACTGCTTCACTAAGAAATGTAGGTCGTTGCGGTGCCTGAATCCAGCTAACTCTGTGCCTCTTAGCACCGATGGCAATTACTTTGCGAGAGTATTTTGTTTTCCACTAGTAGTATTTCAGTTCATGCCATTTTGACATTATAAATCAAGCCAGACTCTGGATAAAGTTGATAAGAATTGATAAAACTTGAAATTTGCTGATTTTTTTTTGTTTTGACAAAAACTAATACTCTGGTGAGCTCTGCTAAAGTAGTGTAGGTTGAAAGTATGTTGTTTCTAATTGTTCTGTGATACTTGTCCATTCTGCTTTGAAACCAGCAAAGCTGTGTTTATGTTGTCCGGTTCTCACCACGTAATCAGGCACTAGGGCTGCCTTGTCTAACGATAAATTACATTTTAGTATTTTCTTCCCTCAGACCATCCCCCCCCCCCCTACAAACATAGCAGATAACACTGAGTCTCTGGAGGTTTGATCTCCCGTTGCAGTGCAGCCACAAGATGACCATGCTTGTATTCACCTGTTAGTGTCACCCCACTCATCCGCATCCCAGGATGTTTGATCTTCTCCTTTGGGAAAAGAGAGCACCTACTTACACATTTGTCAGAGCATTTGACCCTGAATACCCGCTCTGATGGCAAGTTAAAACACAGATACTTGAAACTTGACACAGGCATCGGAGCTGAGCTACCAGCCCAAGACTGCCAGGCACCCGAGCAGCTACTCTGCTCCCAGCTGCTGCCGCGTGAGCTGCAGGCTCCTGCTGCAAGAGATGCTAACCTGGTTTGTCTGCTGCAAAAGAGACCTACCTGTTGGGGTAGAGGCGCTGGAGATCCTTGAGGCTACTCTGCTTCAGTCTGCGCTGCAGTCTGCAGGAGAGTTTTCTGTGAATTGCCCTCCAGCTGCCTTTAAATAATGAATCTGCAAAGTCACTAATTGGTTATTTTTGCTCGTGTGCCTGAATAAAACGCTTAATCTTGGATAATCCATTATGTAAAAACCGACGGTAATCCTCACACTGGTGGGTCTGACTGCTATACTAATGCAAACCTAGCTTTTACATAATGGAAAAAGCAGCCCAGAAAGCTAATAAGTCTGCTGAAGTGATTGTGCCACACCTTTGTCTCACTGAAGTCTTTCTATGCTTTACACGTGTTAAGAGAATAAGCGCGGAGCATTAATCAGAGACTCATGGACCGTACATACGCATCTGCATAGGCATGTGTTCATACTTGCCCACTTGCATGCGGTATATATATCATGAGCACTTCCAATACCTGGATCAGCAAATGAAGGTGATCCCTGCAAGAGTAGACAGATGTTATGCATTATCTGCTGAAACAAAAAATAAAAATTTTGGTTTTATGTCCACATCAAAACCTTGGAGTCTCCAGTTCACCTATGCACTGGAAACATCTCTATACACATTCGTCCTACCTTGTCTTGTCGACGTCTCCAGTTGCACAAATACCATAGCTCTCTCCTTCCGAAGATGTTCTTCCTAGAAGACTTCCAGGGGAATGCAGTGAAGCACAAGTACATAGGATGCCAGAAATGGCTAGAAAACATTTTTTGTGGCAACCTGTGCCCACCATTCAAATAATCTTCCCAGCTGCCTCTTCTGTCCCTAGAGGACAATTTCTGTTCTACATAGTCTGTCCATATATTTTTCTCTACCTCGCTTCACCCGGGTAGAAGTCAAAGACTTCAGATACTCATCCAGGATTTGTCAGCACTGACAGTTACTTCTCTGACTGGGCTGCGTGGTGTCTAGGGGTTGTGGACTTACGGACGGGGAATGACTGTACGGTTCCTATAGAAAAGCCCAGGGACTCCTGCACCTCTTGGTGCTGCTTCAACGGTCTGGACATTCCCAGTACAATTAAAGCTTTCCGGGTGTGTTGGACTTGCTGCAGAGATTGCCTGCAGTCACTTGCCCAGGAATTCCTGAACAGAAGTGTGCAAGGTCCCCCCTCTGCCTTGTGTCTGCAGTGTTGCTTTGCAAGCAGCTTCTTTAGGGTTGCCCGTTAAGTGGGAAAGACGAAGCTTGTTGCCAGAAGGAATTTGGCCTCTGTGTAGCTTCCCCAGACATTTTAGAGGGAGACCCTGATATGCATGTGCGTGTCTAGGGGAGGGACTGAGTGTAATCTGTTTTTCCAAGGCTGCAGAGTGAAACTGTCTTCTGGTGGTTGCTTTGCAAGCAGACCCTTCCCATGCAGCACCATAAGTAAAAAGGCAGAGGCTTGTTGAGCACAGACTTAAGAACAAGAGTGCGTGGATTAAACCGAAAAGTCCTGGTGATTCTGGAGCCAAAAGGTCCCCCTGGACATGCTCCATTTCTTCATTAGCATTTCAGCTGGATTTATCCAGGGGCACCAAGGCCTGGAGGTGCAGGGAAATGGCAAGTGCCCCACTGCCACCGCAGGCTCCTAGGTGCTGCATGCCATGGGCAACGTGGACCGACGCTGTCCTGCCTGGATCCCCAGCCTGTTTTTCTAGAAAGATGCCAAACGGCTGTTTGCCGAACTAATCCTTCAGCTGCAGCTGTCTGCTTGCCATATGCACCGGGCCCCGTTGATCAGCAGGGTCCTGCAGGGATTGCATAGGGCTGAAGCCATGCACACTGAGCGTGACCATAACCAGCTCAGTTAATTCAGGCAAAAATAGTTACATAAGGCCTCAGGCATGCATCTTTTACTGGTTGCTTTGCATGCGGACCCTTCACAAGCAGCACCCTAATTACAAAAGCGGAGGCTTGCTGAGCACAGACTTAAAACCAAGAGACTGTGGATTAAACCAAAAAGTCCTGGTGATTTTGAAGCCAAAAGCTCCCCGGCGATACACGCCTTTTCTTCAGCAGCAGCATTTACTTTGTTGTGGAGAGAAAGAAAAATCAACAGAAGGCCCATTTAATTCCTTTAAAAGGCTTGGCCATTTAAAGAAGGACATAAAGAACAACTTCTTAAACTGCTTTTCAGGCCCAGATGCCCACTAACTTTTCAAAGGACCCTCACCTGAAACAGAATCCAAGTGCAGAACTGCTGTTTTCCAGCACAAAGCAGTCATTTGAGACAGAATGAAACACAAGAGTTTTCTGTAAATTAGAAGGGCTTCAAAACACTTATCACTTCATCTGTTTTCAACAAAACAGATTAGTTTATGTCCCTGTGAGACATAGGTGACACTTGAAGCCATGCTTAGGTGGCCACTTAATCCCTTGGGGATTATAGGCACGCTAATAATAGCTAATCACAGCACAAGATTTTGGTTGGTTACCATAACATCTGTCACTGCATTATTTGCTGTTTGGAGCAAGAAGAAAAGAAAATCGCAATAATCTTCAGTTTCACAGCATTACGGTAGTTTGTGCTGGGCTTAGGAAAAAGAGAGGGGTCTAGAAAAGTGTTAAAGCATATTCCTGAACTAGTTAAACCTCAAGTAACATGAAAGGGATGCTACAAAAAAAAAAAAAAGGAGCACCAGAGCAGCTAGTTCTCAAAGAGGACATCCAAAGGTCCTGTTACATGCCTAGCAGTCAAGGCTGCTTGCCTTTTCCTGGAAGAGGTGATCTGACCAGATAAAACACATGTTTAGGCTACTGGACTCAGCCTAGCAGTAGCTGGTAGCTTTAATGGTATTTGTAAAAAAGGAGGTGTGCAAACAAGATGAAGTAACGATGTCTTCTGCCCTATCCTATGAAATTCAGCAGCAGCAGCAGTTTTGGTCTTCCTCTTGCTAACAGAAGTCCTCCTTATGCCTGTACTTTTGGAATAAGCAGTGGGTAAACTGCTCTGGGAATTACTGCAATTGCACTGCCAGCTCAGATTTAGCAAGATGTGCTAGCTCAGCAGCCAATGGCATGGTGAGATCTCTAAATAGCCTCCAGCATCAGGTATTGAGTTCCCTGATGTCCAGCTAGCAATCAAGCTGTGTGCTTGTTTACCAGAGTGCTGGAGAACAACTACATTGTAGGTGCATTTTGAGTCACCTTAGAGAAATATTGTAGTGGTTATTGTACACTAAGTGGGGAGGATTTCCTGCTCTACCTTTAGCTCTAGTTCATATCTTTAAGGATGCAGGGTTTCCTTTTGCAATGTCATAGATGTGTGTCGGGGGGACCCAGGCTCTAGTCCTGTCTCTGCCGAGGACCGCAGCATTGGTAGTCTTTTCTACTCCCTCAGCAAGGCAGGAGGCAGGAGAAAAGAGGCTTTCCTCTGGTGCCAGACCATGTGAAGGCCATCAGTTAAGGAGTTCTCAGTTTTTGTGACTTCCACTCAGAACTGCTGATCTCTCCCAAACAAAGAAAGTGACGCAAAACAGATGAAGGGGAAATCATTTGAAGTTTGTCCCTGTGTGATTCAAGGGTTAAGGTTCTTGGGTGTGTTTCCTCAGTAGATAAAAAAGGAGCATAAATCACTGCACTGTGACTTTTAAAGTACCATTTAAATACCTCAGAGCTTTAAATGACATAACCTAAAGTTCACCTTTCCCTTCTACAGCATGATAACAGAATTATTTCTGAATGCATTGCCTGGCAGTTTGAAGACCAGGGGCTCATGCTCCCCTGTGGTCACGACGCAGCGCAGAGGCGCAGACTTGCACGCCCCTGCCTTCACACGCAGAAGCAAGAAGCGGCCCGAAGCGCGGCGGCGTCGAACAGCCGCTCGCCCGCTGTCCCCGGGCTACGCAGTCCGCAGGAAAGGCTTTCAGCCCCGCCACCGTTCCTCCCGCCCCACCGGCCTCAAGCAAAGTTAGAGCTTGCATTGCAAAACTAGATGAGGTTATAGCAAAGACCCAGTCCAGCGGCCGGCTCAGCAGTACACGTTGTCCTCTGTGCCACGACTGGAGAATGAACGTGCTGAGATAAATTGTGTTTTACATGCTCAAGCCTCAGATGACGGGTTTTTGCTCAAGTGGGCAAAGCTCTGAGTACTTCTTGCCTGTCACATGCAGTAATAGCATATTAAGCTCCCTGGGATTTAATCCGTGCTTACATGGATTTATACCTGACCGTACAGAGACATTTACTTTTTGCCTATAGTTAATGCATACTTCTGTGGTCACAGAAGAGCCCTTTCTCTTGGGCTCCCTGCCCAGCGGGCAGGTGAGACTTGAACGCCTGCAATTCAGAAGTTACTCTGAAGTTGTTACTCTATTTAATGCGATCGTTATTTTTTAATTCCCTCTAGTCACAGTGCCTCGCTGCCTCAAGCGGCCTGCGAAACTGTCTCTGGTTACAGATCAATAGAAAACACCAGGTTTCTCCCTCTTCCCTTGTTCTCATGCCTTAAGAGCAGGCTCTTGGCTGCGGTTTTCTTAGGGCGACTGTCAGCAGCAAAACCAAGTTACAGCCTCAGCCCCAAGCGCGTCAGCACCCTGCTGCCTTGGCAGCCCAGAGTGACTGCAGAGCCGGCTCAAGTCTATACTGAAGCAGGACTTTAATGTATGGGGATCTGCTGGCCGGAGGAGCAGATCTGCTCTTGCGCTCCCGCCTGATTGCTGCACAGCTGTGTGAAAAAAGGTGGCAGCTTGAACAACAAGCTGCTGCGTTTCACTCTCCAAGTTTTGGCAGTTTCCCTCCTGGCCTCTTGCTGTTCTGCATCGAGACCATCCCAGCCTGAGGAAACCTGCTGAAAAATAGACTTTTTTTTTTTTTTTTTGGACCGTCGAATGAAGAGGGGGATATTTGGATTTTCTTTTTCTAGTATTAACTGCTACCGATACGATTTACTATTATGTGCCTAGTACTCATTACTACTGTATTAGGCCATTTACAGCTGTTGAGAGGTTTATTCATTTTAATTGCAAGTCTTTATTTAAACATATGATATTTGTAGTTGTGTAT